CTCGCATTAGAATTTCCCCATAGGAAAGCATTATTCAATGATTTCCTATGGGGATTCCGTTGACGCTGGAAGTCCTCATGCATAGCGTGAGGAAATCCAGTATCATTTAGGTGACCAAAGGTTGCCTTCAAGCATGGAAGTCTCTCTAGTGGCTGTCTGATCGACAGCCACTAGAGGAGGAGTTAACTATAGCAGGTAATTATTGCAGGAAATTATTGCACCCAGATCACTTCAATGAGCTGAAGTGGTCTGGGTGCCTACAGTGCCCCTTTAACAGCAATCATCAAATTCAATAGTGCTAGATAAAGTAAATAAATGTAAAAGTTAGACAACCATCAGGGTATTTCACTAAAAGCATTTTGACACTTTTCATTCAACACATGTACCAATAAACTCTGCCAGAAATGCTTGTTATAGAGTTAGTACTTTGTGTTTTCCAAAGAGCTCTTTCAATTCAAGGCAAATTTCACAGATTTATTGTGTACTATTACAGTAAATAATGCTTTTTTTTTTTTTAGTTGTGGGACATTAGAGGGATATATTATTGCCATGCCATTTTCAGTGTTGCAATTTTAACAATTTGCTTTATTAGGCACACATGACTTAGATAAAATTGCATTCACAAACTGCCCTTTATCCCCATTGTTGCATTCTCTTTGCAAAATAAGATAAACAGGGTGTAATTTCATGCAAGTCTTTTTCAAGGCCCTGGGGAGATAGCGCAGCTCAGCCAGGGCCGGACTGGGAATTAAAAGCAGCCCTGGAAAAAAAATATTTACCAGCCCCATAATGCATCGCGCCAGCATAGTGTGCAGATACAGAGTTAGAACAGATAACTTAAAATTAAAAAGTACCGTATTTTTCGCTCCATAAGACGCACTTTTTTTCCCCTCAAAAGTGAGGGGAAATGTCTGTGCGTCTTATGGAGCAAATGTGAAGAATTACTTACCTGTCTTGGAGCGTGGGCCGGCTTCACAGCGCGCTCCGCGGTCCAGGAACTTCTATTTCAGGTTCCGGTTTCCGGCGGGACTGAAAGGAAGTGTGCACACTGAGTCCCGCCGGAAACCGGAACCTGAAATATTAGTTCCTGGACCGCGGAGCGCGTTGTGAAGCCGGCCCACGCTCCAAGACAGGTAAGTAATTATGGGACAAGGGGAGGGGGAGACACTATGGGACAAGGGGAGGGGAGAAGACACTATGGGACAAGGGGAGGGGGACACTATGGGAGAAAGGGAGGGGAGACACTATGGGACAAGGGGAGGGGGGGACACTATGGGACAAGGGGAGGGGGGACACTATGGGAGGGAAAGTGCACTATGGGACAATGGGAGGGGGGGACACTATGGGATCAGAACACTAATGGACAAGGGGAGGGGGGGTTAAAGAACACTATGGGACAGGGTAGGAGGGGTTAACAATCACTATGGGACAGGGTAGGAGGGGTTAACAATCACTATGGGACAGGGTAGGAGGGGTTAACAATCACTATGGGACAGAGGAAAGGGGGGTTAAAGATCATTATGGGACAGGGGAGAAAAAAAAATATTCTGAACAAACTGTCCCATGGTAAGAAACACTATGGAACAGTTTGTTCAGAATATTTTTTTTTCTGGGTTTCCTCCTCTAAAAACTAGGTGCGTCTTATGGTGAGGTGCGTCTTATGGAGCGAAAAATACGGTAATACTTCCTTAAATTATTTTTAAACCTTTGCCCCTCTAATTTAACATTTTGCCCTCTTGTGGTAGTTTTTCTTCTTTTAAACATATAACGCACATCATGCTGGGATGGTAACTTGTCTTCTAGGGCCTTTCTTGATCCTTCCATGGCACATATCAAGAATGACTTAAGAAGAGTTAAAGCAATTCTTGATATTGAACAGTTGTTTAAGATGTGTTTGTTATAAACTGCTTATAAACAACATTGGATGTTCTAAAAAGAAGTGTAACACAAAGTTGCCTTCAGGACACACTTTAGCCCTGTGTAGTGGTCTCCCATTTTATGTGACATCATTTTCACGCAGTATGCCAAAAAATTGACACTTCTTGCACTTAACGCTGATCCGTCTTTGGGGGCAATGATAGGCGGAGAGTGCAAAGGGCAGGTTGAAATTCACTTGCCGATTAGCAGAGAGAAAGGAGGGTAGATGGGCTTTTGGGGCAGGGAGAGACGTGTTTTTTTGTCAGCGGTGACATTGTGATGGATAGAAATTAATGTGTGTAAAATGTCTATTTACTATGTATACCTGTGCTCATTTATTACTCAAAATGGCTGCTAGAGCACCCCCTCCCATCGACTAAGACCCTTGTGTAGCAAGATGGCGTCTCCATCCGGAGCTACACACAAACACAAAGACAATGATGACATCACACCTTGGAGGAAGTACATCAAGATAAGACACTTAACATCTAACCAATTAAATGTTTACTTTTACTAATATCTAACCCTTAACCCTTAACCAATTGAAAAGTTTTACTTTCTGTATTTGCACATGTTGCATTCTTTTGCCTTTTTAAGGGGCTACACGCCCCCCCTGACAATACACTTGGAAGTTTTTATTTAACTGAACTTTTCTGTGTCAGTGTGATTTCTTTCGGCGTGCACGCTTTATTACATTTAAAACATTTGGACAGGGGCAGATATACAAGCAAACACTTGGTTTGGTCTAAAAAAATTTTGCGCCCAACGTGTGGCTCAGGGTTCTGTCCCGGCGACCAGCTGTCGTAGAAGACTCTGAGGCAGACCTGCAGTGACGGAACAGAGACTGATCACCTCTGACATACGGTAATGACTGCCTTAGCACCTTGCCTATATATCCTGTCTCTGTGATTGGCCTGTCTCCGTGTCTGTGTTGGCTGCCGGAGGGCACCAAAGACAGGTAAATAGCTTGCCCGGAGTCTCTTTGTATTGAACCTGTATATTGACTGTCGCCTGAGTATGAATGTATTTTGTATGAGTGCGCCCCTACAATAGCCGTGTGTGGTGTAGCAAGCAGCGTTGTAGGGAAGGAACTCCTACAATAGCCATGTGCGGTGTAGCAAGAGGCGTTGTGGGAGGGATTCCTGCAGTGGCCGGGTGCGGTGTAGCAAGCGACGCTGCAGGGGGAGAGCTTCCTGCAGTGGCCATGTGCGGTGTAGCAAGTGGCTTTGCAGGGAGGGGGGCCTCTGTAGCGCTGTGTGCGGTGCGGCAAGCGGCATTACAGAGATTATTGAGCATGAGGACAGGGAAGGGTTAAGGGAAGGGTAAATGTGTTTTAACCATATATGGTTTTTGGGTTTTTGTTTGCAATAAATGTAAAGTTGTGTCCTATATATCTCGTGAAATCTTGACTGGAGAGGATGGGGCAGAAGCTAGGGAAACCCAGTAATGGTGTCTCGACAGTGCCCCCTTCTCCCAGAGTGTAACCCAGAGAAGAATGTATACCGGACCTTAGAGTGGCCGGACTAACGTTTAGAGTAGTCAAATGGATAGCCAGAGATCAAGGGAGTACTGAAGATGGATAAACGATATAACCTAGCCAAGGTACGGGAAACCAGAGAGCAGAATAGTCAAAAGGGAAAGCCAAAAGTCAATAACCAGGAAATCAACACTTAAGAAGATTATAAGCACTAGAGGAACCAACAAGAACCACACTAGGGCGCCTTACAAGTGACAGGGACGCCCTTTTATAGTGTGGGGTATATTGCTTTAAAACCACACCCCGAAAAGGTCCGGGGGCGTGGTCGCGTGTGACTTACGTCGGTATTTACTTGCCGGCTACGGATAAAGAGATGAGCGGTGTGAGCGGCCGGCGTCAGAAGGGCTGTGCCGCTCACCGGAAGAGGATGCCGTGCGGCGCTGGTCCGAGGAGGAAAGGTAAGGCATCGTTACAAATGGTTGGTTAGCCTGTGATATAGTGCGGGAGAGAGAGGGCGAGGAGGCAGTGAGGAAGGTGAAGAAGGTAGCTAAGATATGTGGCATTAATATGTCTGCCAGCAGCCGGCTACAGCCAGAAGGCTGGCGCAAGTTGTTAAAGGAAAAGAAGGGATTGTTGCAGGACAACAAGCTAGTACAGACAGCAGAAGCCTGGTTTAGAGTTGCCAGAGCTATTCACCAAGAAGGGTGGGTGGAAGAGGAGATAGACCTAGGTGGACAGAGAATGTATGTATATCATGAAAGTACATGTACTGTTGAAGGTATTTGACAGCCACCGCCCTATGATGGCGACTGGCACAAAGAAAAGGAGGTTGGCCCAGCCCCCATGGCCTCCACCCTATTACCAGTATTGACAACCACCGCCCCTCTGGCCCTGCCCCTGTATATCCCGTCCTTAGGGCGGATGGAACACTCTATTCCCCCACCCCTGTTATGCCTTCCCTGCCTGCCCCTGTTGCTTCTGTCCCTGTGACATCCTCTCCTGTTGCACCTCCCCTTCCCGTCCCTCCTGCCCCTGTGACCTCAGCTCCTATCATGCCCGCCCCTGTCATGCCCTTCGTAGATGGATCCCTGGTTACCATGGATGATCTGCTTGTTCACATGCCCAGGGGGGAGTCCAGGCCCTGCCCACTCCCCTTCAACCAAACGCTCCTCCCCTATGTGCAGTCTTATTGGCGGCTTACAGGCAACGCACTCCTTCGAGTCCTCCAGTTCCCATGGTTACCAGCTCCCCCCTTTGGAGGTAGACGATGGTAGCCTGTTCGGTGGTGGTCATCTGCAACCCCATAATGGGAACCCCAAACTTTGGTTTCCCACGGAAGGGGGCCCCTTAATGTATGTCATGTTCACGCCATCCCAGGGCGCAACTCTGGTGGGCTCACTCCCAGACCCAGAGAAACAACCTATGCCCTTCTACCGAAGGATTGCCCAGGTCCAAAAGACTTATTCTGCCACATGGCGTTACTTACTTAGCCTCTGTGAAAACCCTCCTAAGCTGTGGTCCACAGGCCCTGAGGACTGTCTGCCCCGCAAGCCACAATACCCTCTGAAACCTGCTCAAGCCCAAGCTATCTCCCAGCAGGTTAAAAGTCTCCTGTCCAATGGTGCCTTAGTCCTCTGTGAAAAATGCTTAAAGGCCTATCATGGAGAAAAGCCTTTCCAGTGCCCGACTCACTAGTGATAAATTAGCTGACCAGGCTACCTGTATTAACAATATCACCCAGGATAAGACGCAGTGTGTGGAGAAATATCACACCAGGTTATCCCAAGTCTTCTCCGATCTGGGTTTCAGCCAGGTCTGGACTGGGAAAAAAATTAGACCCGGGCATTTTTCAATTAGAGCGGCCCCCCAAGAAGGGGCGGGGCCAGAGAGGGCGTGTTTTGTCATCACTAATGACAAGTACACCCTTCTGAAAGTGAGCATGTTGGTTCAATGCGCAGAGCCCCGCTGAAGAGCTCTAGCATTAGAAAAAGGCCCTGTATTTGTTCTGCGCAGCGCAAGCAAATGTAATAACATGCTTGCGCTGTGTTTGCTTTTAAATTGTCTCTGGTGTCTCCACAAGTGGGATACCAGAGGACAAAAGGGCCAGGAAAGTGTATGGTGCATGTGTTTGGCGCATGCTTGTGGGATTGCCTGTGTGTGTAGAGTGTGGTGTGGTATTGTGTAAATAGGTCAATTTTGTGGTGTAATATGTGTGGCTAGGGGCTGTAGACAGTGCGTGTATAGGGGCATAGTGTTATAGGGGATGTAGCGAGTGTGTACATACGGGCAGTAGTATGTGTGTATAGGTGACGTAGTGTGTGTAGGGGTTGTAGAGAGGGTGTGTTTACAGAATGTTGTATGTGTTTGCTTACAAGGAATGTAGTGTGTGTGTAGGTTGTGCAGTGTGTGTGTAAGAGATCTAGTGTGTAAAGGACCCAGAGTGTGTATAGAAGATTGTGTGTGTTTGTGTGTGTATGTGTAGAGGATTAAGAGTGCATATAGGGTAAGGGATCTAGTGTGTATCTGGAGCGTAATGTGTGTAGTGGTGCAGTGTGAGGGGTGCTGTAGTGTGTGTGTATATATATTTAGAATATATTTGGACGTATTGTATGTGTGAGGTGCGCAGTGTGTTTGTGTAAGAGGGGTGCTATGTGTGAGGGTGTTTTTATCTGCCGTCACATTGTAGGTTTCTAATTTTCTTGTCTGTTAACTCACTGAGGGCTATATAATATATATATATATATATATAAATATATATATATATATATATATATGTGTGTGCTGTATATGTGTGGGAGTGAGGGTGCTGTCTGTCTGAGGGTGCTGTGTGTGTCTGGGGGTGCTGTGTGTGTCTGGGTGCTGTGTGTGTCTGGGGGTGCTGTGTGTGTCTGTCTGGGTGCTGTGTGTGAGGGGGCTGTTAGGGAATTTATTTTAAATATTTTTTTTTTTATTAATAATTACATCCGTTCTGCCTGGGGGGGAGGAGATCCGTTCTGTCTGGGGGTGGGGAGAGCCATGCTGCCATGAGGGGGGCCGTGCTGCCATCCTTCCCTGGTGGTCCAGTGGTGAGAGTGAACTCTAACCTGCAGGCTAGAGTTCACTCTCGCGAGATCTGAGCGTTGCCACGGTAACCGCGGCAACGCTCAGAATCCCGCGAGAGGACCCGGCGGAGCTGCTTGTTAGAGCTCCGCCGGTCCTCTCTCCTGCCTCCCTCCCTCCCCAGCCGGCGTCCGCATCTCCATGCCTGTGGGCCACCGGCCCATGGAGGCACACAGCAGGGCCGGCGCTCGGATAGCGCTGGCCCTGCAGGGGCTGGCAGGGGAGATCCTGTGATCTCCCTGCCGACCTCGACCCCACGGCCATCGCGGCCCACCGGGCATTTGCCCGGTATGCCCGATGGCCAGTCCGGGCCTGGTTTCAGCATGTATAACAAGTCCCATACCCAGGTGTTATCTGCGACCTTTGTAACAGGCCTTAAAGAATCTATACGCAAAGGCCTGCTTCTGTCCCGCCCCAATTACAGGGTGCTGCCCCTGGACACCCTTCTGCTGGTTGCCTAGAATCCTCCCAACTCCAACTTCCTAGGAAATCTGCCCCTCTCGTGGTTGCCCGTCCTGTGTCCCTACCTCCCGGCCTGGGCCGCCCTATTGGTCAGGCCCGTATACCACACAAAAATTGTTTCAACTGTGGCCTACCGGGTCATTTTAAACTGGACTGTAGTGTCCTGAGGGCTTACCGCCCTACCCCGCAGATGCCCCCTCTATGGCCAGCCGTCCTGCTGCCAGTCATCCTGTTGCAAGTCACCTTACTGCCAACTATCTCGCTGCTAGCCACCCCGCAGTGGCCAGCCGTCCCTACGCTGGCCCTGACCAAGCTCACCTGGATATCTTACCCTAGGTAACCGGCAAACCTGTGTCACCTGCTCCTGTTATGGCAGTGTCTTCACTTGCCCTATGAATCTTTTGGGTGCAGATGTCCTCTCCCGCTTGCAGACCTCTATCACCTTTACCCCAGATGGCCAAATTCAATTGTCTTCCCCTCTATCTGCTGCTGATACATCAGCTCTCTGCTCACTACCCCTATTACTCCACCTGGAAGAGCCCGCTAAGAATGCAAGGGTACTAGACACTTCCCCCAGTGCTCTGTCCAGAGTCCCTCCTAAGCTGTGGTCCACAGGCCCTGAGGACATTGGCCGCCTCCGTGTTCCCCCTGTTCTGGTAAAGCTCATCCCAGGAGCCTGTCTACCCCGCAAACCACAATATCCTCTGAAACCTGCTCAAGCCCAAGCTATCTCCCAGCAGGTTAAAAGTCTACTGTCCAATGGTGCCTTAGTCCCCTGTGAGCCTCCTTGCAACACGCCCCTGTTCCCTGTAAAGATGAAAACTGCTAAAGGAAGCTTTCATTTAACTGAACAGTTCTGTGTCAGTGTGATTTCTTTTGGCATGCACGCTTTATTACATTTAAAACATTTGGACAGGGGCAGATATTCAAGCAAACAGTTGGTTTGGTCCAAAACAACATCGATGCTGAGGGTCCGGTGGCTGGGAGGGCAGGCAAATGTGAATTTAACTTGCCTGAACCTGTCCCTCACAGACGCAACTATCATCTTCCCGTCCTCTAAGCTCTCAGAGCTCCCATCACTGCTGTACTCTCGCACATGCTCAAGAGTACAACATTGAGGTCTATGTAAGATCCTGTGAGAACCTCCATAGACACAGCCAATTCCCTGCAGCCATCACGGAGGAATTGACACTTCTATATGGCGGTAGCTCTGCCCAGTGTCTAGAAGTATCATGCTGAGTTAAAATTCCAATTTCAGTTACATTAGTCACAGTCAATATGAGTTTTTCATAAAGATTTTATCTTTCTAAAATACTTATTTTACAGGTTTAGGGGGGTGTAGGGAGGAAGGGGTGTTCTTATTTTACAGGTTTAGGGGGGTGAAGGGAGGGAGGGGGTGTTCTTATTTTACAGGTTTAGCGGGGTGTATGGAGGGAGGGGGTGTTCTTAATTTACAGGTTTAGGGGGGTGTATGGAGGGAGGGGGTGTTCTTATTTTAAGGGTTTAGCGGGGTGTATGGAGGGAGGGGGTGGTCTTAATTTACAGGTTTAGGGGGGGTGTATGGAGGGAGGAGGTGTTTTTATTTTAAGGGTTTAGCGGGGTGTATGGAGTGAGGGGGTGTTCTTAATTTACAGGTTTAGGGGGGTGTTGGAAGGGGGTGACAGTGTTGCTTTAAGGGGTTAAAACATGGAAAAAGGAAAGATTTCATCTGATGTTGAATGGGTGGAGGACAGATTTCTGCAGAACAGTTTGCATCAAAGCTATCAGAATGCCCCTCACTGCCATTTATATAGAGGACATGCTCCACGAAGGCATATTAAATTCATGTTAGCAGGTAAAGGCGAGAAACCGTCAATAAATGTGTATTTTGGTTTGCAGTAATGCAGGTCTTTATGGTGACTGTCTGGGCTGCACTCCCCATCCCACACAGGGAGGTACTCTCCAAATATTTTTTTTTACTGATTGTTTGACATTTAAAGCGGGGCCAGTAAACAATAGTGGGTGAGATGTCTGTTAAATCTACTGCCAGAGGATGAGGTTTCAGGTGTTTTGAGACGGTGTGTGTGTGTCTCACGTTTCACCTGTTCCTGACTCTCTGAGAGTTAAAATGGCGCGGACCCTCCAAAGAAATCCGCGCCTCAACTTCCACAGAGTTTGCCCGTTGCCCTGGTGACCGCCCTTCCCCCACCCCCAGCCAATCACCGCCTCCCGCCACTGCCGGCGCCAAAAGCTCAGTCCCCGCCTTCTCCCCCCTCCTCGCCGTCTACGTAGGAGGCGGGCGTGGCTCTGCGCCGAGCGTGCCCGCCTCCTCGACGTTTTGATTGGGCCGCCCCTGACGTCAGACGCCGGCAGCCACTGGGAGCCGCGTAAGGGGCGGTCCTGGGAGTGGTACGGCAGTTGGTGACGTCAGAGGGAGAGGGTAGCAACAGTTGCCTCGAGACCCCCGGCGCCATAGTGACTGTAGCCGTGGAGACTGTTACTTGCCAACCGGAGACACAAGAGCAGCGGTGGCCGGAGGAACAACCCGGGGACCGCGGGGCTTCAAGTAACACTGCACCGCGCACCTTACCGCACAGTGAGCAGGACCCAGGTGACCCGCTCACACCCAGTACGAGCTCTAGCAGGGGGTAGCGAGGTCAGGGTGGGATGGGGGGCTCAGCACCCAGCCTGACAGACAGAGGGGGTAACTAGGGGGCATCACGGGGGCCAGGGCTGGACAGGCTACCCCTGCATCCTCCCTGTCACTGACCACTGCAGGGTTAATGACACCTCTATCACTGCCATGGGATGTGGAGATCTTACTATTAATGCTGAGCACATATTAAAAGTAGATTTATTTATTTTTTAAGGTACTTTTTTTTTTAATTTCCTCAAGTTGAATGTTTTCTATAATTCTGTTTATATTCTATTTATAAAGCAGATAATGAAATTATTTAGAAAAAAAAAAAAATAGAGATGTTGCTACTTTGATTTATGGACTTCCCTTTAATTCACAACTTACACAGCTGTAAAGAAAATACAGACAGGTTAGTGTATGTGTGTACA